TTCTAACAAATCGTGTTTTGATTAACAATATTGCCAAAACCTTTCAAAAACTTGCTATTTCCTAAGCATTTAAATCATTTTCTCAAAGCGTTTTATATAAGGGGAAGTGTTATTCCTATCAAATCAAAAAATTAAAAAATAAAAAATCAAAACACCGCCCTCATTCTCTTTCGAATGCTCTAGCAAGTCAGTCATATAGCACCATGGGCGGGGGAGGGTGGGGAGTGGGGGGAGTTGAATTGCAAATCGCCATCATCTTTTGGATATAGAAATGATGATGTAGCAGAAATGAAGTAACCTGACTGAAAAGATGATCGGCACGCTTGAAAAATACGCGACTATCCAGAAAAAGCAGTGGATAACCTTGCTGCTAAGCAATTCAAAAATAACACTGCTGCGCTTCGCTCCCAATTATATCAAGGTCAGTGATGATGAAAACGGCAACGGGATGCTCGAAATCAAATAACACTGTTTCTCCGGTTAGAGACCACGATCCTCACTCTCATTATCATGACAATTATCTTCATCTTCACCGCTGTTTCCACTGATTAAACTTTGCGCTTCCTCCAAGCCGACGCCTGATGCAACGCTGCAGTTATCGCCGCTATCGAACACCGTTTCGGGATTTAAAAAGGCGGCCCCAATAAACGACACAATGATTGGCATAGCTGCGATGATCTGCATTCGAGTTGGTGGTTGAGCTCGCACTACCGAATCGGCCGCAAGTGAGAACGGAATCGAAAGCGACAGCGATACAGCGCCAGCTACAGGACTTGTGAGCATGGATGCGTATAGCCAAAGGACATCGCTGAATACTGTCCCAACTAGGCCATTCAGTAACAGCATCCAAAACTGCTGCTGATTGGGCAATGGAAATAGACGCTCGACCGCGAAGCAGTGCAACATCAGTAAACCCGGCGTGTAAACTAGCAATGTTAGCAGCCCAATTAATCCTGCAATAGTCACTGTTTAAGTGCTAGAACGGAGACTACATTGAATAGTAAAGGTATGTATTTAGTGGCAAGCAGGGCGCAGTGCGAGCAACACTGCCGTCTTCGAGTTGGTATAGGGTTCGTCTCCCAAAATGACATCTAGACTACGACTCGTTTACTCGTTTCAACGGAAAACTGATACTGGCATGTGCCAGAGGCAAACGAGGCTGTTAAGGGCAGATCAAAGATAGGCGAAATTTAGGTTAAAAGTAGGACAAAGTTAGATCGGAGGGTAGATCAAAGGTTGGTCAAAAATGGGTTAAGAGTAGATCAAAGGAAGATCAAACGTGGGTCAAAAACAGATCAAAGGTAAACCAAAAGTAGCTCAAAGGCGGATCAAAACTAGATCAAAAATTTTGATGCATCCAAAAGTAGACCAAAAGTCCTGGGCAGATCAGAGCAAAAACAGAATAGAGGTGGATCAAAAGTAAGTCAAAGGCAGATCAAAAGTAGGTCGAAGGTGGATCAAAAGCAAGTCAGAGGTATATCAAAGGTAGATCAGAAGTTCTGATCTCACCAAGGGTAGATCAAAAATAGATCAAAAGTAGATCAAAGGTAGATCAAAAGTAGATCAGGGGCAGATCAAACATAGGTGGATTAAAGACAGATCGAAAAAGGA